GCAGGGAGCCGACCCGGGGTTCCATCCCAGGACCCTGGGATCATGAACTGAGCCAAAGGCAGACGCTTAAACGACTGAGCCACCCTGGCGCCCCCCTTTTGTAATCTTTTGTTTTTCTGCTCCAGTTTCTTTTTTTTTTCTCCCCGCTACAGTATCTTAAGATGAACACTTCCTATAAATTTTATATTTGTATATAATATGGCCATTTAGACTAAGGAATTTCCCCCCCAAACCAGGTTTTGCCCTGCTCCTAAGTTTTGGCATAAAGTGCTTGATCTTTTATTTCCTTCTCTATAATTTCCATTTGAATTTCATTTTTTTATTTTAAGGAATTTGATTTCAGAATTTCTGGAAATGTAGTGAATAGTTTGACCATACTTAATCTTATAAAGAAGTTAAATAGTGTAGTTATATTTACTTTTGTTCAATTATGACAAAGGGGAACTATAGAGTGTAAGATATCCAGTTTTCTAATATATTGAATTTTCTCTTTGAACCCGATTACATGATCACTTTTTCCAAGTGTTTTATGGTACAGTATAAGGTCCCTAAATATGGAATCTGCATTTCACATATGTATTTAAGTCTAGTGGGGAATTTTTTAAAAAATTCATTGCCTTATTTCTCATTCAAATTGGTACTATGTTACTAGTAGAAGATTATGGAGGTGTAGTTTGAACAAAAGGTAAAAGGGGAGTCGGCAGCGCGCAGAGATGGGAGCTGGCTGCGTTGTGCATTGCGGAGTCCAGGGATGTGCAGAATTCAGTGGTTTCATTTTCTATCCCCCACAGGGCAACAGAGTCCCTGGGGCAGACCAACCCCGATGGACCCCACCAGGCTTTCGATGGAACAGGGGAAAGAATTCTTAAAGCAGCTTGGGATTCCACAGAGAGACGTAAGCGTGGGAGAGGTTGGCAGGTGACATGAGGAGGAATGAGGTGGCCTCCCAGTCTAGTGCTGAGGCAGCTTCTCCTCCCATGACCATGACCCGGGGTGAAAGCCCATGATTAGCAACGTGGATATTTGGGCACTGGCCAATTACAGGGACGTGCAGTGATCAGATGGGCAAGCAGAGGCGACTGTGGTGGCCTCAGTTTCCACCTGGGGACCACCAGCATTCCCTCTGCCCACAGCTCCCCCTCGTGGAGGTCATCGGCAAACTCACTGTTGAATTGGACGAAAGAGCCTTCACTCTCTGATTAGCATTGCGTTCAAGAGCGCACGAAAAATTGGGAGTTTGTTTAAGATCTTCCATGATCTGAAGGCTTCCTCCCGTGTGCAGAACTCTGATTGTATCTTGATCCTCTTTGCTCTCTGTCAGCTTGACTTGATGACGGAGAAATGGGTCGTTGTTGCCGCCGTGGAGGTGATGCTCCGGTTTCCCCTGATGCCAGGAGAGGACCCTAGCGCCCGCTGTGTCTCCAGTACGAGATGTCAGCCTTCAGGGGACCGGCCTCTCCCAGCTTTACGGAGACTCCAAGAGGCGAGGTGGGACGAACGCTGCGGAGTAACGTGGGCGGGGACTCCCTGGGGGGCGCGGGGTGGGCTGCAGACTTGTGCGCAGACGTGCCGGCCGGCTGCTGACAGGTGTGACCCTCTCCGTCGCCCGGGCTTTTCTTTGTGAGCTTTGCCCGTCCTCGTGAGCTGACACGGCAACCTCAGGTTGCGGGTCCCTGTGCGGCTTTGTGCCCCTGCTGAAGAAAACCGGCATGTTGTCATGGTGACGGGGGGGGTCACATATGAAGTTTCACAGGTGTTCATTAGCATCGCATCAAATCCCTGCAAACCTTTGTCAGAGGAAATGGCAGGTTTTCTCGGTAAGATGTTATCTGTGGAAACTGAGTTTTCTGGGCGCCTGGGTGGCTCAGTTGGTTGGGTGTGTGCCTTCGGCTCAGGTCATGATCCTGGAGTCCCGGGATCGAGTCCCGCATCGGGCTCCCTGCTCAGCGGGGAGTCTGCTTCTCCCTCTGACCCTCTTCCCTCTCGTGCTCTCTCTCAAATAAATAAATAAAATCTTAAAAAAAAAAAGGGAAACTGAGTTTTCTGGAAATCCGTAGGGAAAGAATCACTAGTTGTTGGCCTGCTTATTGGTTTTGATAAATATGGGGAGAGGCTTTAAGCTTGGAGGGAGCGGCTGGACGAAAACCCAGGACGCGGGCCTGAGTTACACTGATATTTTCAGGTTGCAAATCTAATTTCACCATTTATAGACCAAGTGGCCTTTTCTCAGGCAGTGTCCTAACCTGGGAGTAAGTAATGATGGAAAAACATCACAAAATGACACAGAATGGGACATCAGTTCATGAGGGACCACATCACTGTGGGTGTACTTAGTGATCAGTGAGCCCCCCCATCCAATCCAGGCAGAGAAGTAGGGGAATGAGGGACTTCTGTCTCTGTGTCTACATAATTATTATTATTATTTTTTTTTTTTTTGGTCTTTTTCTCGTGAGTAGAGAATCCAACAATCCGTCCCTGAGGGAGAAAGACCGGAAGCCCAAGGATATGGCAGGGAATTGCACATACCAGCAGCCCCCAAGACCCCCTATAGCTCAGAACATGAAGAAGCTACAGAGGGGACCAGTGGGGCAAAGGAATCCCTCCCCAGAGGAGGCGTATACTGGGGTAAGTCGGGGCTTGAGTGTTTCAGGAACCAGAGGATCTGCATGGCCCCCAAGGATTGAGTTTAAACACAGAAACCTGTGTGTCTATAACTCAGGGATTCTGACTTATCCAAGCCTGGCCTGTTTCTGATGTCCTAACCGGGGGACTGGCCCATTCAGATCCTCTGAGGAGCAACCTTATTCCCTGTTTAGCATCCCGTTCCGCTTAATGTCTGTGCAGTACTCAAATCCAGTTTGTGGACATCTCCTTTAGATGCTAAATTCCTTCCCCTAGATCACTTTCTATAAAATGGGCTCTGAGCAGGGCCATAACATCTTGAATTTCCTGGCCGTGGGCCCTGGGTCTGTGTCCTCTCCCCCAAACGAATACCAACTCCAAATATCTGTCCTGACATGAACCTTTGAAAGCCGCCCCTGATTTCTGCTGTGTCACTGAGCACTCTCTCCCTCCGTCCGCAGGTGAAGTGCAAGAACTGCGGGGCCTTCGGGCACCTGGCCAGCAGCAGGAGGTGCCCCGGGAAGTGCTGGGCCTGGGGCCTGGCCCCCCAGCCCTTGGGCTCCAGGAAGAATGAAAACTTGGAACCCAAGAGGCCTCAGGACTTACAGATCCCAGGGTCCTTCCACAGGACGGACAGCAGGAAGGAACCAAGACAGAGGTGCGGAATCACAGGGTCAGAGCGATTGGCGGGCAGTGGAACCCCCTTTCCCCTAAACAAGGGCGAGGTCTGGGCCCCAGGAGTGTTCCTGGTTCCCGGTTTCTGTGTGGGCAGGAAGGTCAGGGGCGTCCGGACAGTTCACATGATCTGCCCTGCAGGCCAGAAGAGCAGAAGAGGGAGGCTCTGCCACTGAGACCGCCCGGCAGACGACCACAGAAGCAGCAGAGCTCCTGGGAGGAGCCCATGGACGTGGGTGCCCACCTGAGGGTGAGTCTCGTTCTGCTTCATTCTGTGCTGCTCGGGTGTGCGGGGTTACATTCAAACCCGGGCTGGCCTGGAGGAACCGCCTGGGAGTCCTACGTATTTTTCATATTATAGTTTCTTTATTTGAAGCACGTATTTTTTCTGTTTTGTGCAAGTCGGCCGGCAAGTGTTTGTGGAGGCATTTCTGTGCCCAGGTGAAGGGTTCTATCAGATGCCTTCTGTGATCCTATATCAAGATGAGGCATCTTTCAAAATTCTGTAAATACTCCCAAATAACCCTTCAAAAGGATGGTTGCCATTTACACTCTGCACGTTGTATGCTCCCTGGATCTTAACAACAAACGGCATAAGGAAAGTTTTAATTGTCCTATCTGATAGGCAACAAAAACTAGACGGGTATTGTAATTGTCCCCCCACCACCACCTCTGAGGAGCGTATCTCTGCAAATGTGTGATGACTGTTTGCACATCTTTTGCTGTGACATTTAGTTTTGTACGTGCTGTCTGCTTAAATTGGGTTGCTCCTTTTTTTCCTTCTGAGGTAGAGACAATCCTGAGTATTAGTTATTTCCCCCTATTTATTATCTGAGTCTGCTGTTTTACCTTTGTCCTCCTTTGCTTCTGATTTCCATGGTTTCTACTGTGATATGGCTGAAGGCGTCAGTCCTGTGTGGCGTATGGTTGAGAGTTGTGATTCCTGAGGTGTCTAACGAGGTTCCTTCTCCCACAGCGCCCCACCAGGCCACTGCCCGTCCAAACAAATACTAAGCGATCTGTCCTGGGCCCGGTCCCCACAGGTCAGCCACCCGTTGTGATACCTGACATGCGGTCTACACTGCCTCTCAGTAAAGCCCCGGAAATGCGTGCTTGTGAACCAGCCCAAAGATGTGGGGTGGTGGACTTGCCCTGCCAAGCTCTAAAAAGCTCCTGCCAGGACCCGCCTCTCATTGCCAAGTTGACAGCCAGCAGGCCTGATGTTTTCTCCCCTGGTGTTCCCCAGTCTGCCAGGAAGACACTGGCCCAGACACAAGCCAGGCATCCTCCCGTGGCCTCAAGGCCCCACCCGCAGCCTATCATGGGAAAATGTGGCCAGAACGCCAAACTCAGCATCCAGGCACCAGGTAAGACGTCTCCTCAGGTCGCTCTCCAGACTTGCCAGAACCCTCCAAAGAAAGCAAGATTCGGCCTCTTCTAAACCCCCAAGATGAGTTCCTGGTGACCTGGTCTGGGGGCTGTCCGGGCTCTTCAGCTGCTCCCCAGTACACTTCTCTTGGATCCAAACAGATAACCCCAGGTGACCGGGAAGACACCAGCCCTGATGCCCAGCTTTGACCCCCAAGCCCCACCCAACTCACCTGGTCTGAGCCCTGTCCAGGCTTGTGCCGGCCCTAACCTCCACCACCCAGGCGTGTTCCAGGCCAGTGGGGGCGAGGGTGGGACATGAGATGGGGCACGGGATGGCGGAGCTCCAGGTTTTCAACTGCTCCTGTCTCCCTCCAGAGAAGTCTACACCTGCTGGTCAGAGCCCTCACATCTTACAGGTGTCAGAAAGACAGGTTCCCAGGGTCCCAGTGAGAGGGTCTTCTCTTCTGCCACTGAGGAGAATGCCTGAGGGTGGCCCCGTGGAGAGAAGACAGGACATCCAGTGTCCCTTCACTGGAAGTGGCTAAAAGACGGGAAAAGAGGCAGGAGCACCTCTTTTCTGTGTCCTGTGAGTCAGGCACCTGTGGAGGTGTCTTGTGCGCGTGCTGGGGCTCCAGGTGACACTGGGGGTCACCAGACAGACACCGCCTTTAAACTTCGTGCATTTAAGTTGTATTTAAAATGGAGCTTATGAAGTTGTCACTTGTCCTTTGTAAATCAAGTATTGTTTAAGAAACTGAGCCAACATGGGGAAGCCATGTTATACCCTAATGTCAATAGAAAGCTATGAAATTCGTCTGTGCGGGTGGGTAAATGACGAAAACTTGGGTAACTGGGAGATGATTGTGGAGAAGAGCTGCACCCCTGGAACAGTGCCCTCTCCTGGGTGTAGAATTTTCCACTTTCAGGGAGTGTTTCAGTGGGAATTCTCTTTGCCTTGGGGAATGGGGGATATTCTTTTAACCTTTACATTTTGTTATTTAAAAAAACCGTTGCAATGTTATTGGTTGATTACTTTCTTTCAGGATTAATAAAATTCTCTGAAACAGAACATGTATTACAGCTTTTTTTATTCCTCCGTATCACCTCGGGTCAATTTATTTTTTCTTCATCCAGTTTTACCTGAGTAAAGAGGAGGTTCATACAGTCTAATCCAAGGATCTGTAACTTTTAAGAAATACAGACTCTCAGGCACAAGCCAGCCCTACTGAACCAGTATCTGGGGTTCTTAATAATTCCAGGTGTTTCCTATGCAGGTTGAAGTGTGATAAGTGAGAAAATAGACTGGTTCTCAGTCTGCACATCAGAATCACCTGGTGAGCTTTAAATACCGTAACGAGTGGTTCCTACCCCCCAGGGATATTCATTTGTTGGGTTTGGTTTGAAACGTGGCATGAGATAATAGAAAAAATATAAATATAGGTCTCTGCCCCTGGTTCCTGACACAGAGCTCCTAAAATCCCTGCAATTTCTTAAGTGATAAGGGCCCTGGGAGCATCTCTTGTGCTAATGAGACAACTCTGGGTGGGCTCCTGGGTGGGGCTGGTCACCAGAAAGACCAAGCCATGATTAGAAGATTGGGAACTCGCAGACCCACCCCCATCCCCCTTCTCTAGAGAGGGGAGGGGCTGGAAATGGAGCCAGTGGTCAACTATGCCCACGAGAGGAAGCCTCCATAAGATCCCAGTAGCAGGGCATTTGGAGAGCTTCCAGGCTGGCGAACACATCCACACCAGGAGAGTGACACACCCCAGTCCTTTAATAGACTGACAAACGTGAGTGTTCCCCTGAGTTCTGCGAGCTGCTCTAGCTAAATTAATCAAACTCAAGGAGGGGGTTGTTGGAACCTCTGATCTATAGCTGGTCGCTCAGAAGCCCAAAGTGTGTGTGTATGGGGGGGGTGTCTCGTGGGGACTGGAGCCCTCACCCGTGGGACCTGATGTGTCTTGGGGTAGATGGTGGCAGAATTGAGTTGAATTCTTGGACACCCAGCTGGTGTTGGAGGCTTGCTTGTTGGTTGGGGGGAGGGGGATGCAAAAGTGTCAAAAGGGCTCCGTGTGACAGTAAAGGAGACACAGGAGGTGGAAACTGTTTCCTTACCTGTGTGGATGTTGAGTGTCAAACTCTCTGTGGTTGTTTGGGGGGTCTTTTTGTTTTTTAAAGATTTTATTTTAGGGAGAGAGAGAACAGAGTGAGCAGGGGGCGGGGCAGAGGGAGAGGGAGAGAGAATTCCAAGCAGATTCCCCACTGGGCGTGGAGCCCTAAGCCGGGCTTGATCCCACAACCCTGAGAACATGACCTGAGCTGAAATCGAGTCCGACACTTGACCGACTGAGCCACCCAGGCGCCCCCTTTTGTGGTTATTTGTAACGCACAGCAAAGTTAGGAAGCTGGAGGTAGAGCACAAAGAGAACACTACATGAAACTGTTTTGGGGAAAACTCTGTCCTGAGTCAAAAAGAGCAAATGACACTTGTCAACCTAAAATTGTCAGGAGACAATATTTAAGCAAAAGCATTTATTTGGGATCAAAGAATTGCAATGCAGGGTACAGAGATGTGGGTGGCAACCCAAAGAGTGTCTCACTAGGGAGAAGTCAGGGGTTTTTAAGGACAAAAGTGAATGCTTGAATACGTTGCTCACAAAGAATTTTGATTGGTGTTGATGGCAGAAAACGAATCTTGGCTTAACTGGCTGCTAAAGTTCATTACTGTAAGAACTTGCAGGTGTGTTTGTGCATAGTCCTTGAGATATTTGTGGGTTGGCCCCATTCAAAGTTCATGGTTCCACTGGGTGAGGACGGGCATAAGGTCCTCAATGACCTCCTGGCTCCACTTGAAAACCCCTGGACATAAGTGAGGCCATGTCATTTCAACTTTCACTTTCTCTTCAGAGTGGGATTTCATGGGGGGGTAGTGCGGGGAGCAAACCAGATGTCCCCTTTCTCCCTGTGAGATTCTGTCTCAGGAGAGCTTCTCTGTCTTGCCAGGGCCATATTCCTAACAGGCAGTGTGATAGGACTGTCCAGGCTGCCTCCCGGTTGGGGGTCCCACACCCAGGAAAAGATGGAGGGAAATCAAGAGACTCTTTACCAGTGTGGGTTCTTCAACTTGGGGCTCCCCAGGTTGCTTTAATGAGGGTTTCTTTGAAACAGAAATAACACCTCCAGAGCCCCCAACAGGGACTGCAGAATAACAACATGATACGGCCATTAGCTTTCAAGTCTCAGCGAGTCCCCGGGCTCCTCTGTCCCGGGTCTGCTCAGCATGTTGGAGAAAGCCAAGAGCAGTTGGAAACATAAGCCCTACAATCACCAGTGGTGATTGGTTTGCCAACTGGGGAGCTTCCCAGGTTCCACAAAAGAAATTCTCATTACGTTGATCCAGGAACCTGTGATCTGTGTTAGTGTCCTGAGTGTTTTTGAGGCAGGTGATCAACAGACAAGAACTAAGAAAAACCCACTGGCAAGTCTTGACTTAAAGATCCACCTGGTATGCATTTTGTTTTTGCAGTGTAATTTCCAGCATTTGATATTCTTTTCTTCTATTGGTCAATTGGACCAACCTGGGAATGAATACATTTGAAAGAAGACCTTTGTCCCCCTTTCTATATTTAAAAAATTTTTATTTCTACATGTGAATAATTATTTAAAATATACATGTGACATTTGATGTCTTTCCCAGTGTATGCCTGAACACTGTATTCATTTAAGGACATTAACCCATCCTTCTTGCTGCTAACGCTTGGTCCATGTTGGGAGCTGAACTAAGTGTTTTACAAGCTTTAGACCATTCCATTTTTCTCACAGCCCTGATTCCCAGTGTAGATGTACAGGTGTCAGTGGAAAGAGAGAGGACACATCAAGTGTTGGTTTGCCAACTGGGGAGCTTCCTAGGTGCACTCTGAAGCCAGCCCCCTACACAGAGGGCAAGGAGAGCCCAAAGAGGCACATCACTCTAGATGGGTAGGTAACAAGAGTAAGAAGCAACGCACACATATGTACGTACCATACTGATACTCATGCGTACAGACAACATGATCTACAATTTCTCATGTGGGAGAAGTCAGGGTTGGTTGAAAATGCACATTTCATATTTTAATATGCACAAGATTCTAGTGGGGTCTTATTACAACGCAGACTCTATTTCAGGAAGTCTGGGGTGGGCCCTGAGATTCCACATTTTAACAAGGCCCAGTGATGCCAAAGTTATGGGTCCATGGATCACCCCTTGAATGGCAAGGAGCTAGAACATTAAGAAAACACTCCTTGGATAATTTTAAAATCAAGAAGTTTATGGCTTGTTCCTGGGTTTCGGCCACTACAAAAAAATGTTTACACAAACAAAAGGTCTAAAATAATAACAATAATTTAACACATACATTAGATATCATTTAACTGTTTATTTTATAAATATTTATATTATAAATTATGTTATTACACCAATGTATAAAACCACAAATTAATCCATGAGATCTCATCATTCCGATTTTATGAGAATATTGTATAAAACATCTAGTGAACTGTTGAGACTGAGTTTGAATCTAGTTATTGGGCCTAGAATTTAATTTGAACAGATGTCTGGAAGAGGTTTAACAATTGAGAGAAACAATAAAAAGGAGATAAGAAGGTAACAACAGATAATAGTTTTAAAACATTTATTTGGTATAAATTGGGTAACCATATGCTAATTAAAGATTGATAGAGTGGAAAGTATTCATTGTCATAGGAAATGTCCAAGACATTTCCAATTCTGATATGTTTTTAAATCCATAATTCTTGGTTTTTGAAAATATCTCTGGATATCAATAGTTTCCACTGATCTAAATTTTAGTATTTGGGGACAATAAAGATGCCTGTGTTATGATTATGATTCTTACTGAAACAAATGAAATAGTAGTTCATACAGATGAGAGCGGCAAAATGCAATTAGAGAAAATAGAAAATTTCCGGGATGGGGATATATTTATCATGATGAGGAATATCCAGTATGAGATGTGTTTCTAGTGGGCACATTCAAAATTTGGGATTTCAGATTTCAAATTTTCAAGGCTTAAAAGTCATGGCTTATGTGAACTAATTTTGTATACCTTTTTTTAAGATTTTATTTGAGAGAGAGTGTGCGTGGGCACCAGTGGGGGAGGGGAGGTGCCAAGGGGGAGGGAGAAGGGTAAGCAGGCTCCATGCAGTGCGGAGCCTGCTGCCGGGCTCAGTCTCAGAACCCTGAGATCATGACCTGAGCCAAAACCAAGAGTCGGATACTTAACCAACAGTGCCACCCAGGCGCCCCTGATACTTCTTTGTAAGATCAACCTAAAGAAAAAAGTCCCTAGGGATCTCCATATATGTAAGTTGTGGATCCATAATCTGGATGACCTGTTTGGGGAACTCATGGACAATTTCCTTTAGCACAACCTCAGTAATTCCTACGGTGGGGTGAAATAATGAATTAAGGGGAAGACCGTTAATGCCATTTGCCAGAACTGTCTGAAATCTGCGATAGTAGCACCCCCTGTACTTCTTAGGACCCAGCCTTCTCCTGGAGCCTAACAAAGCAGCCACCCAGGGGGGCAGTGTTCCCTTCACTTATGAGTGCCCAGCAAGTGAAATTAATGGGTTTCTAAAAAATGTTCAGACCTGCAGTGTCCCCAATCTGTAACTTCAATGTCGATGTCATCAAGGAAAATATTTTAACATAAAAGACTGTAGTTTCGGGGCGCCTGGGTGGCTCAGTCATTAAGCATCTGCCTTCCGCTCAGGTCATGACCCCAGGGTCCTGGGATCGAGCCCCGCATCGGGCTCCCTGCTCCGCGGGAAGCCTGCTTCTCCCTCTCCCACTCCCCCTGCTTGTGTTCCCTCTCTCGCTGTGTCTCTCTCTGTCAAGTAAATAAATAAAATCTTAAAAAAAAAATTGTAGTTTCAACCAAATTGCAATATAAGCCCTCCTCTCTCTATTCTCCCTTTTTTCAATACAACACCTTGTGGCTCTGAATGAATGCAGATTTCCTCTTCCAGCTGAGACCAATCTTGTGTCATCCTCCCTTAATATTTACTCTAAAGTGGGTTTTTCTATGTTACTGTATTTCTGAAGTTTTATAGCTTTCCATATACATGACAAAATGTGAATCCACATCAGAAATGGCCATTTATTTTTTACTATAGATGGCCAGATAGTACATCTTTTTACTCTTTGTAAGCTGTGCAGTCTCTGGGCACCGACTCCATCTTGCCCTGGTTAGATCAGCAGTATGTAAACACAGGGCGTAGCTGAGTTCCGGTGAAATGCGGCACTGTGGTCCTGGAGAAGACCCGGAACCAGGTCCTTTTGGATCTGCATGCCCTGGGTTCTGCCCGCGCAGACCCCCATGTAAGTACTCCCTTCAACCACATTTAACTGGACAAATTTCCCTTTGAGCTTCATTTCCCCATCTGTCACACTGTGGATGCGTAAGTGGCAACGTTTTCTCCTCTTCTGGCACTCAGCTCTGTGACTTCCTGGAGAACCACTTCCTAGATGAGGAGGTGAAACTCATCAAGAAGATGGGCGACCACCTGACTAACCTCCGCAGGCTGGCCGGCCCCCAGGCTGGACTCGGCGAGTATCTCTTCGAGAGGCTCACTCTCAAGCACGACTAGGAGCCTCTGGAGACCAGCAGCCTTTGAGGGGGCCCCTCTGACAGCCCCCTGGTGCCAGGGCTTGTGCCTCAGCCTCTCCCTGCAGCCACCAGGCAGCTTTTTAACCACCCTGGAACCCTCTCCCAAGCCGTGGACCAAATGGAAACAATTAAGCTTTTTCCCCACAAACAAAACAAATGGTGGCATGACTGACTGAAACTCCAGGCTCCATCTGTCCCCAGAAGCAACGGATGAGCTGGCAAACGTTGTCAGAATCAACTTGTGCAGAAATGTGCAACAAAGAAACAATGCCAACCAGAAGGCTTCCTATGGGAAGAAGATGGTGCTTTGATCTAGGAGAGCAGGAGCACTGGGGTGTATTAAATGGCCTGCCTGTTGTCACAAGCCCGCCCCTCACTTCTGTTCCTATTGCTGATGCCAGAAAGAGTAATTCGAACCTCCTCTCAAAGAATTGTGCTTGAACATTTGGACCCAGCTGCCTCAAGGTAGGGGGAGGGCTTCACCAGAATCCTAATGTTCCCAGGACTCGGGCAGCTTCCCAGGCCTGGAGAGGACATTGAAGCTCCGTGCTTATTGCCCATACCTGGCCCTGGGCCCCTCTTCCGTCTGGCTGTTCGTGAGTTCTATCCTCTTATAATAAACCCCTAATCTCGTGAGTAAACTGTTTTCCTGAGCTCTGGGAGCAGCTCTAACAAGTTGATCAAACCTAAGGAGGGGGTTGGTCAGGAACACCTGGACAATGGTGGAAGGTTTGAGGAGGAAAGAGCACCTGGACAATGATGACTAAAACAAGAGGAAAGTTCATCGTCTCATGTAATAGGATGCCTAGAGGTTGCCATTCAGATGTGACAGGTATTCTAGGAAGTTGTCAGACCCGGGCTCCTCTCTTCCCACTCACCCCATCACATGGCTCTCTCTCTGAGTGGCTAGACAGCTGTCTCATTAAATGGTGTGATGGTCAATTTTATGTGTCAGCCTGCCTGGGGCATGGGGTGCCCCCATACTTAGTTAAACATCATTCTGTGTGTGTCTCGGAGGGTGTTTGTGGATGAGATTAACATTCGGATCAGCAGACTAAAGCAGATTGCCTTCCCCGGTGTGGGTTGACCTCCTCCAATTCCTTGAAGACCGAATAGAACAAAGATGTTGACTAAAGGAAAATTTGTCCTCTCTGCCTGTCTTTGAGCCAGGACATAGGTTTTCTCCTGCATTCAGACTTGGACAGGTGGCATCTCTGGATTGCAAATGACAGGTTTTGGGCTTTCTCAGCCTCCATGCATCTCATGAGCAAATACCTTAGAATACACCCTCCTTTCCCATATATGCCCATACTATCAAGATACACAATTGCACCTTGATTGCGTGAATGTGGTTTTACGAGTGTGAATGGTGGTGGGTGTGGTCAGGGTGGGTGTATTCAGTGGGAGTTATGGAGGAATACTTGAGAGAGTGAGATGTGACCGTATACGGTTGTATCTGAATATATGTTGTGTATACACGTGTTGTTTATGTGCAAATGTGCTTGCATGTGTGTTCGATAAGGGTTGTTTACCCTTATGCCTCTAATCTCTGACTAGGATATGAGGAGTACTTGATAGTGGACATCAAATTGTGTATTTACTTTTTAGGGAAAAACAATTTGAACTCCTTTTATGTTTCTTAATTACAAAAGCAATCACAGGTGATTACTGCACATTCAGCAAAAAGTAGGTGTGGAAAAATGTGGTAACCACCCAATGCTATTTAAATGAGTAAGCGGCATTGCTTATCCCAGGCTTCTAGAATGTCCATTTAACCCTCTGATTCCAGGGCTTTTGTTTGTAAGAGGCACTTTTCCATTTCTATCTTTCATGGATATTCTGTTTAGACTTTTTATCCCTACTGGAGGTTGGGAAAGGTCAATATTCATAAATTGTGTTGCTAAAACATTTCCATATCACCTCCACTTCCAAATTAATTAGTGTTACAAGATTTTTATTCCCTTGGTACCCGCGGTTCTTGGTCAAGCCACTTTGAAGAATTAAGAGGTAGACCAGCTGAAGACTGGGAGGCAGCAAGGCAAAGTTTATTGAGCGATAGTACAAAGCTCCCACAGAGGGAGGGGACCGGAGAGGGTTGCCGTTTTGGCGTTCAAATCTAGGGGTTTTTATAAGCTCTTTTGCAGAACTATCTTGAGCATCCTGAGAGTGGGGCCCTGGGGATTGGCCACTAAGGCGTGCCAATCAGGGCTCTGATCATGCCCCTGTCTACCTGTTGGGTTATTGTTCACGTGTTGATGGTCTTTTGGGCTGACATCTGGAGACTAACTGCCTCGACTTGTGATAGTGATCCATATTTTACGGTTAATTGTTTTGTTTCAGGATGTTTTGCAAAAGTTACTTCTGCAGAGGCTGCTCGACAGGATGCTATCTTGGTCTTCTCTAAGCTGTCAAACAGGATGCTAGTGCGGTTTTGTCTTAGTTGTCCTGGCTCCCTGTTTTCTTGTTGGGGACCCTGGTCCTGACTACCTAAGTGTCCAATTAACTCCTAACAGCATGGTGAGATAGATAAAAAAGAATTTAAAGAAAAAGCAGTTTGCAATTATTTGAATAAGGATTATTTTAATGTTCCTGAATGTGCAATTATCCAATATTATTTGATGGAAAAATATTAATCTGACAACATATACATATGAATATACAATTGTCTCCCCTTAGCCACAGTAGATACGTTCCAAGACCCCCAGTGGATGCTTGAAACTGCAGAGTGTACTGAACCCTATACATTGTTTTTTCCATACATACGTATGTATGATAAAGTTTAACTTATGAATCAGGCATGGTAAGAGATTAACAGCAATAAATAATAATAAAATAATTAGAACAATATACTGTAATAAAAGTATGAATGTGGTCCCTCTCTCTCTCCCTCTCTCAAAATATCTTATTGTGCTGTACTCACCCTTCTGATGATGATGATGTGAGATGATAAAAATGCCTATGTGATGAGATGAAGTGTGATGAATATGGTAGGCTTGTGATGTAGCCCTCAGCTGCTATTGACCTTCTGACAATAAATCAGAAGGAGGATTGTCTGCTCATGGGCTGCAGTTGACTGCAGGGAACCCACTGCAGAGAGTGAGACTTTGGGTAAGGAGGAACTACTTACTATACATTAACCTGATGAATACACCACATTTCATTTATAATTGGTATTGATGTTTTTTATTTAGTAGCAGGAGCTCAGTTTGTCTTGTTTACCCCTCTCGTGAATATTTCATAAATGTGCTTATACATTGAAAGGGGCTAATAAACAACCATTGTGAATATGCATATAACTTACATATTCATTAAAAGTTTAGGGGATTTTGTTTCCTTATCCAGGCAGAGCAGAGGGTGGACATTCTGGGGTCATGGCTCATGAGGATGTAGGGGATGAGAGTAGGAAAACACGCAGCGAGGAGTGTAGAAGCGTTCCTCCGCCACAGACGCGGCTTGTTAATAACTGACAAACATGGAAGATAGAGGACAGTGTCCATAAAAAAAGAAAGAAGGATACCAGGACAAAGATGCTTTGGGTGGCTGTGGTCTCAGGGGAGGATCTCGGGGAGACAGGGTTCTATGAATGTATTGAACTCACTGCCTGTGCCCATGCAGGATGAAAACCTGGACCAGACCATGAGCCCCAAGCAGGAACCATCATGGAATAACAGCAATGGCACATAGAGTGACTCTGTGATTTTGCTGTAATATACTGCATTACAGTAGTCATGATCTGCTTTCCTTATGATGTTTGTGCTATTCCTTTTGTCAGTCACATGAAAAGGAACCAAAATACTTTGCATTATAGTCAAGATCCAGCAGAGGATGTTGGTGGTGCCAAGGTACTTGGGAGCTTTTATTTTAAGCCCTGCCCACCGGGAGTCCCCAGGATTGATCATGATCACCTGGAAGGCACTCAAGAGGCAGGTGGTTCCAACGGCCACATTCCTGCCCACTCTGTGAACATAGAAAACGAGTGCATCCAAAATCATCACGGGAATGTTTCAACCCAAAAGTGGCCATTGTCTGAGGAATTCCTTTAGAAAAAATAAGAGTTTGGCTACAGTCAGGTGTTTGAGAATCAAATCTGTGGACCTAAGCTTGTATCCTGTCAGATAAAGGAAGAGATAATGATAAAAAACGGAGAAATTCCCCAGAATTCCAACTAGAGTTTGCAATAAAAAGGTCATTGCCAACACCGAATCCCTGGTGGTCATTCTGTAAAATCCCAGGGAGTGAAATTCTTCTGAGCCAGATTCCTGCATGGGAACATGGGGCGTGAGGTACATGCGTCGTGTCGGCTAAAATCCAATGTTCTCCACTTACTGTAGTTCCCATTTGGAAACAATTCTTTAGAATATTTGCTTTAAACAAGTTTCCAAGGGCTGAATTTGTAACACTTAAAGAGCTTTTTACATAATCTAGATCATTGCTATAAAGGCCGTGTAGGTAGTACATCCTGTATTCTTCATAAATAGATGAGAGTCAGTATTAGTATTTTCATGGAAAAGATAAGGGGCACTGAGGCAGAGAAAGTTCAGTGATTTGTCAAATTCAAGTTGTTTTTGTGGTCTGGCATTATGGCGATGCATTTAAACACAATGCTGTTCTAACAAAGCTAGTTAGATGTAGTCTTCAAAATACAGGTGCGTATTAGGACATTCTCATACCTTGTATTCTTATTTTAGATAAGTAGTAGTTATTTTTTCTAACAATTTTTCATTTGTTTAAAGATTTATTGTATTGACCACTTACAATAATGAATTAATATTTAAATATCTCCATAAAATGTAAACCCTCGGATTATAGTAAAATTCTAAGGACCTGTTCCATGACAAATTGTGTTTAAGGAGTCCACTATTAGCTTTATAGTGTATTGGCAACTGACCCATTATTTTGCTTTTATGACACCTACCATAGGAACCACTGAATTCCAATGTCGTGCCCTAAATTGTGAGACTTGAAATGCCAATATGTGGTAAGTTGGTGTAGAACAGCAACTCAATACTACTAATCTCAAATCTTAAGCTCATCTGTTTAACATCACTTAAGAAAAAGTATGCGCAATAAGATTTGTGAAAAATCAAAATATAAGACATATACAAAATAATTTCTAAGCTTGAAAGACTGTATTTTACAAGTTGAAATCGTAGAGTT